GAAGAAAAATTATATATAAAAAATAAATAAAAAAAAAGTTATAACTAAAATATAGTTGTTGCATAAGTATTCAGTTCCCTGAGTCAATACATGTTAGAAACACATTTGGCATCAATTACAGCTGTGAGTCTTCTTGGGTAAATTTATAAGAGCTTTGCACATCTGAATTGTGCAATATTTGCCCATTATTATTTTCAAAATTATTTAAGCTCTTTCAAGTCTTGCCATAGATTTTCAAGCAATTTAAGTCAAAACTGTAACTTGGCCACTCAGGAACATTCACGGTCTTCTTGGTAAGCAACTCCAGTGTAGATTTGGCCTTGTTTTGTAGGTTATTGTCCTGTTGAAAGGTGAATTCCTCTCCCAGTCTCTGGTGTGAAGCAGACTGAAGCAGGTTTTGCTCTAGGATTTTGCCTGTGCTTAGCTCCATCCCGTTTCTTTTTATGCTGAAAAACTCCCCAGTATTTTCCGATGTCAAGCATACCCATACCATGATGCAGCCACCACCATGCTTGAAAATAAGGAGGCAGTTACTCAGTGATGTGTTATGTTTGATTTGCTCCAAACATAAGGCCTTTTTGCATACAAGATGCATGTTCTCAAATATTTGTATTCTGTATATTTGTATTCTTCTTTTCACTCTGTCATTTAGGTCATTATTGTGGAGTCACTACAATGTTATTGATCACTTCCTCAGTTTTCTCCCGTCACAGGCATTGAACTCTGTAGCTGTTTTAAAATCACTAATGGCCTCATGGTAACATCCCTGAGCAGTTTCATTCCTGTCCTGCAGCTCAGTTCAGAAGGATGACTGTATCTTTGATGTGTCAGGGTGGTTTAATACATATTAATGTTAACCATCTACCAATCACTGCCCTTCTTTATGAAGCTTTCGAAAAGCTCCCTGGTCTTTGTAGTTGAATCTGTGCTTGAAATTCAATACTTGACTGGGGGACCTTACAGTTTTTGTATGTATGGGGGACAGAGGAAGGGTTAGTGTTAAAATCATGTCAACCCCTATTATTTCACACAGAGTGTGTCCATGTAACTTATTATGTGATTTGTTAAGCCAAATTTTACTCCTTAACTAATTTAGGCTTGCGTAAACAAAGGGGCTGAAATATGCACTGACTATATTGTAGTTATTCATATTTTTATTTTTGTGTAGATTGTTGACAAAAAATGACAATTAAATCCAATTGAATCCCACTTTGTAACACAATAAAATGTGAAAAAATCCAAGGGGTCTGAATACTTTTGCAAGGCAAAACTGGAGTTATTGTATTTTAGATTAGTAGCACTGATTGCATATCTGGGTCTGGGTAGAGGGGGTTGACGAGCTTACTTTTCACAATGAGTGAGTCGGCATTATACTGGAACAGATGCTCAATGTAGCTCAATTTGCAACACAATAGCCCCCACACAACATGCTAAATGAAACAGTGACCATAAACAAAAGACTCCAAAGTGGCTTGGCGTGGTTTGTGCGTGTGTGTGCGTGCGTGCATGCATTTTTGTGTGTGTGCGTGCAGCGAGGCTTCGCACACAGACACACACATGCAGACAGCAGATGAATGAAATACACTGCCCTGACCCAATCCCGACCTTTGACCAAATGATGATTGTCTGTGGGTTCGCAAACGGCACACTCCACTATGTCTAATTCTAATTCATAAAAGCATCCAGGTGTTATAAGGAATCAACTTTAAACGTATGCATGAACCACAGGAGGCTACTGAGGGGAGAATGGCTCATAATAATGGCCTGGAGACCATGTGTTTGATGTATTTGATACCATTCCACTAATTCTGTTCCAGCCATTACCACGAGCCCATCCTCCCCAATTAAGGTGCCACCAACCTCCTGTGATATGAACCCGAAAAGGACGCAAGACATGCATTCATGGAACACAATCTGCGTTGGACATGTCTATTAAATCATTTTTTTTTTTTATACTTCAGAGGCTTTGGTAGCCCTAAGTCAGAGAAGTGACCAACTGGCCATACAAGTGCAGTAATCCAATGTGCCGTGCAACGTTTCTCCAGGTTCACAAAAAAAGAGACCACGCTTTTCTTCACACCCGCACCATCATTGTCTGTCAGACTCAAAATAAACAGCCACACGTTAATAGACCATACGCCCCATTCTATTGTTCTGCACATGGACTTTCCTGCCATAAATATGTGGCCCCAAACAGACCACTGATTTCTGACCAGCCCTCAGCATGTAGTCCATACCTTGCATTATGATGCATTTTGTTTCAACAAGTTAGGCTACTGGACACTGATAAAGTATCAGTGAGACACAGATTTAGAAGATTTATGACATTTGTTTCTAAACAACTCAGAAAATACCACATAGTTAATCCCATGATCACCGCCTGGTATGGCAACTGCACCGCCCTCAACCGCAAGGCTCTACAGAGGGGGGTGAGGACGGCCCAATACATCACTGGGGGCGAGCTCCCTGCCCTCCAGGACATTTACAACAGGCGGGGTCTGAGGAAGGCCCGGAAGATCGTTAAGGACTCTAGTCACTCCAGCCACGGTCTGTTCACTCTGTTACGATCTGGCAAACGATATCGGAGCATCGGGTCTCGGACCAACAGGGGCGGCAGGTAGCTTAGTGGTTAAGAGCGTTGTGCCAGTAACCGAAAGGTCGCTGGTTCTAATCCCCGAGCTGACTAGGGGAAAAATCTGTCTGTGCCCTTGAGCAAGGCACTTAACCCTAATTGCTCATGTAAGTCGCTCTGGATAAGAGAGTCTGCTAAATGACAATAAAAATAAAAACAGGCTCAGAGACAGTTCCTTCCATCAGACTATTGAACAGCTAGACCCTAGCTGTCTACCCACCTGCACCTTAGAGACTATTTGCACTGACACACACACCACTGCTGTTATACCAAGTCAATTTACTCACTGTACTACTTGTATAAAACATTCATTTTGATGTTCATGTTGATCAAATTTGGTGAATAATTTGGATTCCACGTGGCTCAGTTGGTAGAGCATGGCACTTTTTCTATCAGGATTGCTGTTGGTTGTGCTAGCTCTAGCCAACCAGCTTGCTTTTTTCTTTCATGTCATTCAGAATTCAAAGATGGAGGGATGAGACGCTATTGTCTGTGTCCTTCTTCCAAAGAAGGAGAAGCCAAAGACAGTACAGTAGTAGTAGTTTAGAAAGTATGTGGAGAAGCTATACGTGATTGGCTTATGAAACATAGACAACTGGATTGTGATTGGACAGGTCTGACTGGCTGACTGACAGCCTTACCTGGCGCCACTTACTCTGAATAATAGCGTCTGCTAAATGACTAACATGTAAACCAGGGTATCACAACTTGCGGCCTGAGGGCCTATTTGCCCCCCCAAGCCTTCTGAGCAAAAAAAAAAAAAAAAAAAAAATATATATATATATATATATATATATATATATATATATATATTCATTGTTGGACATAAAAGACTGTAAAAACACCAGGAAATCAGCTCCAAGTGATTTTAATTTAAGAAATATGTTCCCAAGTATTCCCACGCATAACAGAGAGATCATATGCAAATGTTGGCAAGGTTCGAAATGATTATGTTTTAGTCAAACATTATATCTGTTTGGGCTTCTTGCGGTCAATTTGCAGTCGAAAAAGTATTTGTAATTATGTTCCTGCCCCCTGAACATCTGCTCAACAAAAAATCGTCCCGTGGTTGAATCTAGTTTTTTTTATTTAACTAGGGATCTTCTAGTTGATGATCCCTGGTATAAACGAACCATACTGTATATTCTATTATGTCCATATTACTCATACTAGTTTTTATTACTATTTTTTTCTTTACCTTTTACTACTACTTGTTATTTTTATTGTACTGCATTGTTGAGGAGAGTTAGCAAGTAAGCATCTCCCTGTACCGTGTGCACTTGATCAATAAACTTTGTATTGTATTTTGATTCCGCATCTAATAGAAATGTGCGTGCTTGTTTCCTAAGCTTTACTCTGGCCCAATAATTGCAATGGTTTATATTTAGACACATGGATCACTATGAGATATACATTAGTTATTTACATTTTAGTCATTTAGCAGACGCTCTTATCCAGAGCGACTTACAGTTAATGAGTGCATACATTTTTCATACTGGCCCCCCGTGGGAATCGAACCCACAACCCTGGCGTTGCAAACGCCATGCTCTACCAACTGAGCTACACGGGACAGCGCAGATATGGCATATTACACAGTCAAAGTGAATAAGTGTAGGTAGCCTACTGGCTGTGCGCTTGTTATAGGCTTACACATGTAGCTATTTTATTCAAATACAAAATGCGGTATTTTGTTCCTGACCTTTATCTTTAAAATAGAGACGTCTAACCGAGCCAAGAGGTGTGGTTTAGTTAGTAAATGCTTTCACATTATCATCGTTGTGCTGTAATCTGATACTTCTCTCTGAAGAAAAAGCGCACTGAAGACAAAGGGGATAGGGGGCTTTAACGGGGCTTTATGCTATAAGATAGGCGAAATGAGGGACAACATGCTTCGAATACAAATACATTTGTCAAAATAAAAAAATAAAAATAAAGGGGCAACAGTAGGCTTTTCATGAGAAAAATATATGTTGTTCAACGTAAGCAACGCTTGCAGTCACACAAAGGGACTGCATTCATCAAAGCGCACTTGAAGCACTTGGCATAGGCTATTTCTTACATGAAACAACATTAAAATGTCAACATGTAATTAATGAGAGAGAATAACAATGTTTCTAACACTAAGATAAATTACATATAAATCGTCATCATGTAAAAACTTTCTTCATGCTGGTAATTTTACAGCGGAGTACACCCTTTAAATGTTTGACCATTAGGAGAAAGAAAGTTGGGAGGAGCTTGATAGGCGGGACAAATTCCGAAGATTGACAACAGTCTGTCCAATTAAAACCGCTAAAACATTTGCTTAAATTTGGATTGCCCAATCACGTTTTCGATCGACCAGCTCCACTCTAACTAATGGATTACAGTCGCGTCTAACAAACAGATGTAACTGGTTTCCTTCACTCTCTTCTCCTCTCCTCAGCCTCTCACAGAAGTCACTGCCAGAAACATCGAGGCATCAAACACAGTATTTATTTTGGAAACATATTATACCCTTACATTAAACTAAATATGGCTGATACCGCCGTAGACACGACCACAACCACCGAGATTTCAGCAAAGGTGAGTTCATTAATTTGACTATACGTTAGCTAACGTTACTAGTTAACGTACTCTTCAGCTGAGCCTGTGTGAACGCCAACTAGCTAACTTTAGCTTTTATAACCATGTAATAACCAAGTAATTTACGTGAACGTTAGTCACTGTCAATGACTGGAAAATAGTAGGTAGCTATATTTTACGTCTTTCTCAACTGTTTAGCTAGTTATTTAGTTGAATAACTTTTTCGATAGGTTCATTATTTGCTTGTGACTTTGCTAGCTATGTTAGCCAGCTGGCTGGTTTGCCATTTAATTTGCAAGCTAAACTGCTAAATGTATAATTTATTGCTAGCTAAATAACGTTAGCTAAACAATCCCTCAGAAAATCGAATGCGCTCGAGCTACACGGTTGAGCGATGGCGGGAAGGGCATAAGTCTTTCAGAGCGCGAGCATGTAGTGTGCGCCCTTATCATGTCTGTGGTGAACGGCGACGCAAATTCCCGATGCCTTCCATTGTATGCACTTTGGCAGTGGTCGGACACGCTCCGTTTGTAAAGATCTGGGATATAAATAGAAAGCCTACTATGATTTAAAAAAAAAAAAACACATTCTGAACTACAGAAGGGCTGCTTTCATTGGCGACGAGTATATGGACAAATCGCGTTGGACATGCAACAATTGTACCTATCAGTGAGCTAGCTAATCAAGGAAAACATATTTTCAGGAGCTCAAAGAGAAGAAAGAGGTTGTCGAGGAGAAGGAGAATGGCAGTGGGGACGCACCAGGCAATGGAACAGTGAGTTGAAGCTGAAGCTTATTCCCTCGCGAGCCTCATGGCCTTTTGTCTCGGCGCCCTCATCATGCAGGTGTTGCCAGACTCCGCCCCTACTACTCCCATGCATGCTATCCCACAGCTCTTTGTTTAGTTTGTGAAATGGCACAGATGTTTTCTCAAGAGATCGCAATTGGCCCTCATTGCTTTCCCTTCCCCTACTCTCTGGGGATTAAGTATAAACTGCAACATGTGCCCTGTTATAACTCAGAAGCTTGTTGGCTGTGACTCTTGGGATATTATCGTAACTTTTTTCTGAAGACTATTCTAAATTAAATTACTTGGATGTCACTGCATACAATTTACCCATATTTATATGACATATTACAAAGTTACTCCAATTATTTGTTTCCTTCCCTCCAGCACACAAATGGTGCAGAGAAGAAGACAAATGGTGCAGATGATTCTGAAGAAACCCCTGAGGGTGAGAAGGAAGAGGAGGATGGTAAGTTCATGTTTCTCTTTGGACTCACAGCTGAATTAAAAAAAAAAGTGTGTTTGATACTTGTGAGGTGTCTGAAGCCCTTGTTTTTGCTTCATGTATGAAACTTGTATGACATTGATTGCAGGAGAGGGACAGGATGCAGCTAAGGATGCAGAAGAAGCTGCTGATGAGGGGGTTGACCACCCTGTGAAGTGCCCAGCTGATGAGGGGGTTGACCACCCTGTGAAGCGCCCAGCTGATGAGGAGGTTGACCACTCTGTGAAGCGCCCAGCTGATGAGGAGGTTGACCACCCTGTGAAGCGCCCAGCCGATGAGGAGGTACGCTTTTGTCAGATGATTTTCAAACGCAGTCAATATATTAGCTCAACTGTTACCATGAGACTCTCTTTATGACTGTTGCATATCTGATCACTAAGTTCTCTCCCCACTTAAAACGTTTTAATTTTTTTCATTCAGGAACAAGTGGAAACAAAAAAACAGAAAACAGAAAACGGTGAATCAAAGGAAGCTGAAGTGAAGGCATAGTGCGCCCAGCCTATACTCCTCCGCAACGCTGTCTACATGGCGTGTTCAACTTCACCTTGTAGAGCTTGTGCTTTATGTATGCTTTACAGATTTTGTTTGTCCCCAAGATATTACATTGCACTGGAGTCCTAAAACATAAGAGGCCTCTCCTCTCTTTTTATAAACTGTTATTTATTGGTTTCTTACGCAAACTTAAAAAACCAAAACAACCTGTGCAAATAGAATCTGTGCTATCTTATTAGTTTTGTTATTTTGTATCCGTATGAGTGAAGCACAGTCTACATAGTTAACTGCTGACCAGCTGATTCAGAGGCAGACAGCTGTACGCTTCGCCACATGTTCAGGGTGACTTCTCAGACTCACTGAAGACCAAAGATAAGTTTTAAGCAGGGGCTAATGGACTATTGTTAGCATTATTAATTCAGGCTTTTTTAATCCTTTTTGTTTACTGCTGCTAGTAGTTAATCCTTTGCCAGGCTGATCTGTTAACACAACAGATGGCACAAATGGAAGAACGCCTCCATGATAAAATATGCTTGACCCTGTTTGGGGGGCTGGCTTCTGCTATGTTAATTACCCCCTCTTAAATCTTAAGGCTTTGGTCATGTTCTGTATGCATTTCACACAAGTTTGTACCATTTGTACCCAAGATACTGTTTTTTTTCTCTTCATTTTTTCACATTTAGGTTATTATGTTATGTCTGGGTGACTCAGAAATTGTGTCTTCAACGGTCTTTATCAACATCATTCCCACCCTGGTGTTCTTAGTCTCTTCTTGTGCAGTTTTATTTCATGATTGCTATTTGGTTGCTTCGACCACTGCTTTGTATATTCTGGTTCTTGATGATTAAATAAATCAGTCTTGTCTTTTTACCCAATTTGTATTTTGCATAGACTGTGATAGTGGCGCAGTGGTCTAAGGCGCTGCATCGCAGTGCTAACTGTGCCGCTAGAGATCCTGATTCGAATCCAGGCTCTGTCGCAGCCGGCCGCGACCGGGAGACTCATGGGCGGCGCACAATTCGTCCAGGGTAGGGGAGGGAATGGCCGGCAGGGATGTAGCTCAGTTGATAGAGCATGGCGTTTGCAACGCCAGGGTTGTGGGTTCGATTCCCACGGGGGGCCAGTATAAAAAATAAAAATGTATTCACTAACTGTAAGTCGCTCTGGATAAGAGCGTCTGCTAAATGACTAAAATGTAAATGTATAGTTCGGTGTAGCTTTTCACGTCCGTTCTTAAATACGATGCTGAATAGCTTTTTAGTGTTATAACCAAATTACAATTGTGACACACTAGTGTTTGAAAGTATATCTAATTAAATTGTTAAAACTGTCCTAGCCATGTAAGCAATCAATCAATTGAAGTCGTCCTGACATGATGCAGTTTACTGCTCCATCTAGTGGTAGAATTTTTTATTTTTTTTATTTAACCTTTATTTAACCATGTTAAACTGGTATTGTGGGTGGGCAGGGTTGATTGGTGACAAATACTACACTGATAGAACCGTTATCATGTGGATGTAGGTTTTTCAGGTCAGTGACCAGTTATAAAGAATGGTTATGTCTGAATGCAAAATACATAATAGCTGTCAATCTAATACCAACATTTTACAAGCAAACGGATAATTATCTGCATAGATAGAAAATACGCTTGAAATTCTATGCTAAAGTGAGCTTAATAAAAAACGACAGACCCAAAAAGTCTAAATGATTATTTTAATTGAACTCGACCCTGAAGTTAAGTAGCTGTTACAGTAACACTTAATATTGGAATTATGGATGGAAAAGAACATCAGAAAACACAGTTTATAGTAAAATTGAAGCAAGTTGCAACAGCATGGTCCTCCATACAGTTCCTGTTTCCTCAGAAGAAACCAGTCAGACACATGACATCATCATGGCATGTGTCCAGTCTGTTATGGAGGCTTTAGTGGGAGACCCTGACCAACATTCCGCTGAGCCATCACCAGCTCTAGATCACTCATGACAGTGGGGTGGTGGGCATTTTTGTTGTTGTGAAACTCACAAATGAAGCTGAACGCAGGCATGAGTTGTTGTTACAATTCATTAAAAAAGTGCCAGGAAACAGTCTGTGTCAATTACATTACGTGATGTTCCAAGGCAAGCAATGCCAAGCAAGCTATTTTAGACTGTCCCAGATCTTCAAAATGGAAAAGTAATTATGATTTCACCAATGTTTTCATTGGCTGCTTGATGAACATGGAAGACGAACTGTTGTTATTTCAGCTGTATAGAATCTAAATTAATGATTGAGTGAATAAATGCGGTGTGTGAGGAGACTGGATAACTTACCCAAACGTGAGAATATCACTCCAGTGAGCCAGTTAGGGGCTAGTGTGGTGAAGCAAGCCTAAACACTAACTAAAGCATGTGCCCTAGTGGTGAAAATAAGCACTTGCTGTTTGCAAATATAAACCCAAAAGTCTTCCCTCTCAAAGTTGTCCAGCTCCATCATCGATAGCATAGTTCGCATGTATCTTCCTGAATTATTTATTGCCACCCAAACAACATATTTGTTGTTCTTCATTTTTGTTCGGTTTCCGATGGAATGCCGAATTACACCCCAGTTTCAACTTCTCCTCTTCCTGGTAATGACAAGAATCACTGTCATTACAACGGTCATGCCAGCAGCTGCGTTACAGGTCAGAGTGAAGTCCATGGCTTAGTAAAGGGCAGGGGCGGTGTGTTCATTAGGGCGATATGGGCTACGCACTGCCAAACGGGAAAAGGAAGGGATTTTTTTCCTAATCAATTATATCACGGCAACAGTAGTTATCAGTGTTCTAATCTAGACGTCTGATCTGCCACTAAATGTCCAATCAGGCTAAAGTCGTGCTTCAAATGGCCCCGCCCCCTTTGGGGCGATTTCAGTCAGGTTGAAAATCGCCCAGGAGTCTCTCATAGACTCTCATGTAAAATCTTTTTTTTTTCAAATATCAGAGCTTTCAATACAATCTCTATGGGTTCCGGGAGGGCTTGCACTTACGCGCTTTCGTCATACGTAACATAAGTAACCATGAACATAACTAAGAAAAGAGCGGGTAGCAGCGTCAATCAATTCACGTACTACTGTCAAGATGGCTAGCTTTGCGAGGCAAAGATGAAACTGAGGGCTCCACCAACCCTGGTATTTTTCTTGGACTTGTCAACTTTGTGGCACAATTAGATGAGGTGTTTGATGACCATCTTAAAAATGCTAAAGTTTTCAAGGGCACATCAAAGACCATTCAAAACGAGCTACTGGAGTGTATGCTAGCGGTCATGAGGGAACATATTGTGGAGGAGGTGAAGTCGGCGAACTTCGTAGCTATCCAAGCTGACGAGACCACGGACGTTTCTACACAGACACAGCTGGTGCTTGTGCTGAGGTACATAGATAGCAACCACAAAGTGCAGGAGCGCTTTTTTGAGTTCCTTCCCATCTCGGAATCAACCTCAGTCTCAATCGCCAGTGTGCTTTTGGAGAGACTGAACGGTCTTTTTGCCGACGACGAGAAAGTCAAACTCATTGCGCAAGCTTACGATGGAGCCAGTGTGATGAGGGGAGAGAAGGCTGGTGTGCAGCAAAAGGTGCGTGAGCATTTCAAGAATGCCCATTACGTGCATTGCTATGCGCATCAGCTGAATTTGATCATGCAGCAAGCTAGAACAGTTTCAGTACAAGTAATGTAGCCTCTCTCTCTCTTTGTCCCTCCCTGTCTGTCTCTTTAACACACACACGCCCAAATCAGTTCACAGTTGATGTTGTTTAAAATAGTTATTTTTCATTTTAAAAAAAGTAAAAAATAAATAAATAATCTGTTCATGTTCATTTTTACAAATCTATACAATTGTCCAGAATATGGTTGTTCATATTTACAAATCTATACAATTGGCCAGAATATGGTTGTTCATTTTTACAAAGCCATACAGATAGCTGTGTTTACCTTTTCTAGAAATTATTTTCAAATTCTGTTTTCAGGCAAAATGTCTATCACTGTTCATTTTCACAAATCTATACAAGAGGGCAGAATATGGAAGTCTATAAAAATTTCTTATTACCAATAACTTGCATCAATGTTTTCAGTAGCCTCTATCAAAAGCTCCTGCTTGCTTGTTGTGAATTATGCTCAGGTGCACATATTTCCAATTCAACCATGAGGCCTTTTTGAAGCAAGTAATGTGTATATCAGTATTGACTTATATGCTGCCCCTGTCTTCATGTTGTTGCTGGACATATCTTTTTTTAAATGTGTGTAGGTCACCTAAATCATCAGAAAAATTGCCCCCCCTGAGAATTTTTTCAGGAGCCGCCACTGGTAAAGGGTCCATGTCTGTGTGTATGTTTGTGAACGCATTGGTGACTGTCAAGTCTAAATGGTAATTAATAATGACCATAATAACCTGGGTGACTGGTGAGAAAGATGTAAGGCTGATCAGAGGAGTGCACATGCTTGGCTCTAATGTTACATAGTGCAAACTGAGTGAATGCGGTACTATATGGCGTGTGTGTGTGTGTGTGTGTGTAGATGTACAGTAGATGTGCTACTGTACTTACATGAATTCAGGGCTTCAAGCAAAGGTCATTGGTGGCACACTCAGACAGTCCCTAAACCTGCCTACAGTGGGATGATAGTGTGCTAACTCGGAGAAACAGGCAGGTAGACATTCTCTCGGACATAAGTCAAAAACAGAAGTCATTGAGGCAGATATTAGGCAAGGCCAAAACAATGAACCCCCCCAAACATAGTTTTAATTAATAATAGGGGATGTTGTATATTTGGTGGGCAGCAGCCTAAACTAAACATCAAAAGCAAGGAGTAGTGATGAAGAAAAAGGCTCTACTGACAGCAGAATAATCAGACTCAGACAGACAGACAGACAGACAGACACACAGACACACACAGACACACACACACACACACACACACACACACACACACACACACACACACACACACACACACACACACACACTTTAGTGGAAATTAGCAGAAAGAAATGCATGGACACACACTATCCAACATACTGACACAACAGAACAGTGGCCGATGTGTCTGTCGGTCTACGCTCTGAGAGGAGCTATGCTGAGCAGTGTGAGAGAGTACAGTATTGTATGTGCTGTGCAGAGTGACAGTGTGTAGGCTATATGCAGTGTGTGTTGTGACTGCAGTGCGAGAGTGTGTAGAGCAGTGAGGAAGGCAGTGAGGGGGGCTAAATGTGCACAAGTAGTGGCTGGGTCTCGCTTCCGGAAGGCTCACCCTCAGGGGGGGGCAGATGGTATACCACGCAGAGGGAGGAGTACAGACATCCCACGAATGACATCACGCTGGAAAAGTACATCACTCCCTGGGCCCCGCCCACCAGTGAGGTTAGAGGTCCCATCGCCACGGAGACTATGATCTGAGCCAGGAAGTACTGGCAGCTGAGCAGTGATATGTCCACCCCCATTCCTCTCCTGGTGCCTTCCTCTGACGATCCACAGAACTACACACATAGAAAAACAAACACATAGACAGAGAAACAGAGAGAGCACATGTATGATTGATACATGCCAAACACACACAACAAATCTAACAGGCCACATAATACCTTGCTATATGAAAATTCAACAGTTGGACAACACTGACCAATACCAGGCTACAAAACACCATGTCACAGAAACAAAAGTCTGAACAATATTATATTCAGTGTATTCCCACTTATATTCACTAACCTGCGGGCTCTGGTAGTATTCACACAGCAGAGAGTAAGGTAGAGTGCATAGAGAGGAGAAGAGCACCCCGTAGGTGACACAGAGAGACAGCACCACATAGAGGTTGGTGGAGAGCGTAGCAAGGCCTGTGCCAAGGCCAAACGCCAGGTAGGCAAAGAAATAGAGAGACCGGAGGGAGAAACGCTCCTCCAACTTCTCCAATATGGCTATGAATAGAAACGAGAGGAGAGTGAGAAAACTGAAGAGAAAAACCTGTAAAACAACTATATGTGATAAGGAATCTAAATGATGGATGTAGTGTGAGGTGTGTGTTCTGTTTCTGTGTTTTGAGTGTCTGGATGTGTGTGTGTGTTTTCTTTCAGTTTTTCTAATTGTCCAGATTTGTCTGTGTGCAGGACTCACCTGAGTAGAAGGCAGCACTGAATGCATAGATGCACATGCCCCAGCAGCCCATGCTGACCCCAGCATTGTAGCGTTGGTAGGCCTCAGAGTCGTGGGGTGCTTTGGGGTCTCCCTCAAACACTACCTCCCCCATGAAGTCAGTGTAGAACAGCAGCATGCCTTCAAAGGACAGCCAACCTATAGGATCAAGACAGGGTGGCAGATAGCTAATATTTATGTAGACATACTCACACAGCTTCCACTGGAGTACAGACAGGTGTTGTGATATCAAATCCAAAATCACTGGTGGTTTTAACCTTGGTAGGCATACAGACAATGAAACACAAGCACATGAGTGACATGCCTCTCACCCAAAAAATGGTTAGTGCAGAGGCTGCGCAGTGACGGAGGCATCCTGTAGATAGCGATACACAGCATCCTCATTGACATCTGTGAATCTGCTGTCTCCACATTTTCACTCAGGTCACTCTCATAGCGCACCCCATTCAGCAGAATATTTGCCACCTTCATTACAGGAAGAACAGGATTCAGAAAACAAATTCTCTCAACACGATGATCTGTAAACAAACTAATCAGAGGGATTCAATTCCAGGCCGACCTGCTGACTGAAGGTCACTGTTCTTCTGCGACCATTTTCCATCCCTCCACTCTGGGTCACCATGGACTCCTCCACTAGCGCAAGGCTCTGAGGCCGCTTCAGGATACTAGCGGATGAACCTCGATGGGACCCTGCCCCCATCTGAGCCGCCCCTGCCCCGGCCCGGGATCCTGCCCCAGCCAGGGCCACTGTCCCAGCCACTGCTAGTGCTCCAGCCTGTGAACCTGTTCCAGGTTGAGATCCCTGGAGAGGTGGGGTGTCCTCTGGAGGCAGGGTTCGGGCTGCAGTGTCTGGGTCAAGGGGCTGCGGCGATGGCTGTCCAGTGTAGCAGTCGATGAGCACACTGTCTATATAGGAGGTTCCCAGAGATGAGGCAAACTCGTTAATGCCAGTGAGAGAGTTGTCTCGACTGATAAAGCTGCCATATTTAGGAGTGAGGGGGCTGAGTGGGGAGATGGGGCTGGTGAGGCTGGCACAGAGGCGTGCATTGGCACTACAGGAGTGTGCCTTGGGGTAAGGGTTCGAGGGGCGGGGTTCAGAGAACTGGTAGCTATAGAGCCCAGCCACTTCCTCTTCCTCCTCCAATCCCAGCCCTGCCCCCTGAGGGACTGGGGGAGAGGGGGGCAGAGGGAGGCTGGGGCTCTTCAGAGAGTTCTTCTGAGGCTGCGTCTTTGGCAGGGGCTGCTCAGGGATGCTGTTGAGGGTCATGCATGTGGCAATGACCAAAGTGACACTGGTGAACATGTATATGACTCGAAGTTGACCTCCCATTGACCTCCCGAAATCAGTGTGGTCCCAGTTAATTCCACCCACGATGTACCCGAATCCACCACCCAGACCTGCATAGAGAGAGTGGGACATAATCATCATAGAACTGATAATCATATCAATGACACTGATTATGCTATCACAATCACATCTTAGATATACTGTATATGCTATGTCTACATCGTCAGAAGTGGTTTTTATGTACATTTTACTGTCTCACATACCAGTAGTGAGCAGTGATGGAAAAAGTACCCAATTCTCATACTTGAGTAAAGGTAAACATACCTTAATAGAAAATGACTAAAATAAAAGTGAAAGTCACCCAATAAAATACTACTTGAGTAAAAGTCTAAAAGTATTTGGTTTTAAATATACTTAAGTATCAAAAGTAAATGTAGTTGATAAAATATACTTAAATATCAAAAGTAAAAGTAAAAGTACGAAAAATTCCTTGTAAACCAGACTGCAATTTTAGCCAGGGGCACACTCCAACACTCAGACATCATTTACAAACAAAGCATTTTGTGTTTAGTGAGTCCACCAGATCAGTGGCAGTAGGGGTGACCAGGGAAGTTATCTTGATAAGTCTGCGAATTTGACAATTTTCTGTCCTGCTAAGCATTCAAAATGTAACGAGTACTTTTCGATGTCAGGGAAAATGTATGGAGTAGAAAGTACATACTTTTCTTTAGGAATGTAGTGCAGTAAAAGTAAAAGTTGTCAAAAATTTTAATCGGAAAGTACAGATACCCCAAAAAACGACTTAAGTAGTACTTTAAAGTATTTTTACCTAAGTACTTTACACCACTGGTAGTGAGTGCTAGAGCCTATTGGTATGTATGATGTTCTCGAACCAGCCAGTAGTGTATAGCATTTCCCTGACTGACCAGTTGTAAGTGTATAGTATACAGTGCTCTCTAACCTGCCAGTAGTATGTACAGTTGAAGTCGGAAGTTTACATACACCTTAGCCAAATACATTTAAACTCAACATTCACAATTCCTGACATTTAATCCTAGTAAAAATTCCCTGTTTTAGGTCAGTTAGGATCACCACTTTATTTTAAGAATGTGAAATGTCAGAATAATAGTAGCGAGAATGATTTATTTCAGCTTTTATTTCTTTAATCACATTCTCAGTGGGTCAGAAGTTTACATACACTCAATTAGTATTTGGTAGAATTGCCTTTAAATTGTTTAACTTGGGTCAAACGTTTTGGGTAGCCTTCCACAAGCTTCCCACAATACGTTGGGTGAATTTTGGCCCATTCCTCCTGACAGAGCTGGTGTAACTGAGTCAGGTTTGTAGGCCTCCTTGCTCGCACATGCTTTTTCAGTTCTGCCCACACATTTTCTGTAGGATTGAGGTCAGGGCTTTTTGATGGCCACTCCAATACCTTGACTTTGTTGTCCTTAAGCCATTTTGCCACAACTTTGGAAGTATGCTTGGGGTCATTGTCCATTTGGAAGACCCATTTGCGACCAAGCTTTAACTTCCTGACTGATGTCTTGAGATGTTGCTTCAATATACCCACATAATTTTCCTTCCTCATGATGCCATCTATTTTGTGAAGTGCACCAGTCCCTCCTGCAGCAAAGCACCCCCACAGCATGATGCTGCCACCCCTGTGCTCCACGGTTGGGATGGCGTTCTTCGGCTTGCAAGCACCACCTTTTTCCTCCAAACATAACGATGGTCATTATGGCCAAACAGTTCTATTTTTGTTTCATCAGACCAGAGAACATTTCTCCAAAAAGTACAATCTTTGTCCCCATGTGCAGTTGCAAACCGTAGTCTGTCTTTTCTATGGCGGTTTTGGAGCAGTGGCTTCTTCCTTGCTGAGCGGCCTTTCAGGTTATGTCGATATAGGACTCGTTTTACTGTGGATATAGATACTTTTGTACCTGTTTCCTCCAGCATCTTCACAAGGTCCTTTGCTGTTGTTCTGGGATTGATTTGAACTTTTCGCATCAAAGTACGTTCATCTCTAGGAGACAGAACGCTTCTCCTTCCTGAGCGGCATGACGGCTTTGTGGTCCCATGGTGTTTATACTTGCGTACTATTGTTTGTACAGATGAACGTGGTACCTTCAGGCGTTTGGAAATTGCTCCCAAGGATGAACCAGACTTGTGCAGGTCTACAATTATTTTTCTGAGGTCTTGGCTGATTTCTTTTGATTTTCCCATGATGTCAAGCAAAGAGGCACTGAGTTTGAAGGTAGGCCTTGAAATACATCCACAGGTACACCTCCAATTGACTCAAATGATGTCAATTAGCCTATCAGAAGCTTCTAAAGCCATGACATCATTTTCTGGAATTTTCCAAGCTGTTTAAAGGCACAGTCAACTTAGTGTATGTAAACTTCTGACCCACTGGAATTGTGATACAGTGAATTATAAGTGAACAATTGTTGGAAAAATTACTTGTGTCATGCACAAAGTAGATGTCCTAACCGACTTGCCAAAACTATAGTTTGGAGTGGTTGAAAGACGAGTTTTAATGATTCCAACCTAAGTGTATGTAAACTTTCGACTTCAACTGTATACTCCCACTGGGCACAAACTGGTTGAATCAACGTTGTTTCCACATTATTTCATCCCCCAAAAATCTATGTGACGATGTTGAATCAACGTGGAAAACTGATCGGATTTTGAAAAACGTCATCAACGTAAGGGCATTTCTGTCACGACTTCCTCCAAAGCTGCCTCCCCTCCTTGTTCGGGCAGGCTTCGGCGTTTGTCGTCAGCTGCCTTCTAGCCACTGCCGCTCCATATCTCATCATTCCATTTGTCTTGTCTTGTCAATTACACACACTTGGTTCATATTCTCCTCATTAGTATGTGTTTAAGTGTTCCCTCTGCCCCCTTGTGAGATGAGTGTAGCTCAGTGGAGCTACCTGTACTTTGTATTGCTGGGGTACATTTTCCCCGCGTGTGTCAGGTGTCAGTGTGCAGCGGTAGGACGGAGTCAGGCGCAGGACACAGAACTGAGTAACAGACGAACTTTACTCGAAAAGAAACAATACTCATTTCCATGCAGGGAAATACACCAGCTCACAGCAGTCATAAACACAAAACAAAGAACAATCACGCACAAAACCATGAGGGAACCAGAGGGTTAAATAGGGAAATAATCAAAACGTGATGGGAACCAGGTGTGTACAATCAAGACAAAACAAATGGAAAACAGAAACGTAGATCGGTGGCAGCTAGAAGGCCGGTGACGACGACCGCCGATAGCAGCCCGCACAAGGAGAGGCACCAACTTCGGCGGAAGTCGTGACAGTGTGCCTGTATTTGTTCCAGTGCGCCTGTTTTGCGCACTGGACTGTTGAGGCTATCCAGCGTAACTGTGTACTACGGAATAAACTCTGTATTCTGTGATTTACACTCCTGCACCTGACTCCTTCAAATCACACTCTCACAGAATCACCCACCCACTATGGAGTCAGCGGGAGAGGAGCATATGCCTGGAGTCGTGGCACGGGTCCAGGAGCATTCAACGATGCTAGCCAGCTTGGAGAAGTGATGGATCGGGTTCTTCAGGTCGTCCAACGCCTGGAGAGGAGAGAACCCGATCTGTCGAGACCAGCTGGGTGACCGGATCCAGCCACCCACACTCCAGCACCTAGAGGGATCCATATATCCTGACCACGGGAGTTCGACGGGACAGCTGCTCTCTGCCAGGGATTCCTCCTCCAACTGGAGCTCTACTTCTCCAGCATCAGCCCAGCCCCATCGGAGCGGGAGAAGGTGTCCGCCCTCGTCTCCTGCCTCTCGGGGAAAGCCCTAGAGTGGGCCAACGCGGTCTGGAACGAAGGAGGAGCCGCGTTGGACAATTTCGGGGAGTTCGCTCGCCTCTTTCGGGCTGTCTTCGATCACCCGCCCGAGGGTTGAGAGGCGGGCGAGCGGCTGGTCCACCTGAGGCAGGGGACGAGGTCTGTGCAGGAATTCGCCTTGGAGTTTCGGACTCTAGCAGCTGGGTCCGGGTGGAACAAGCGGGCCCTTATCGACCACTTCTGGTGCCATCTGCGGGAGGCCGTCCGAAGGGAGCTAGCCTGCCGGGACACCATGTTGTCCTTCATGCAACTGGTGGACATGGCCATCCATTTGGACAACCTGCTGGTGGCCAGAGGACATCCTGGAGGGGGTCTGCCTGTTCCAACCCCGGCCGACTCGGATCATGAGCTGATGGAGCTGGGTGGAGCTGCGATCCGAGAGAGCGGAGGACGACAGCGCCAGTGTCACTCTGGTGGCACGAAGAGACATCACACTGCATGATGTCGTTAGCGTTCTTTTGGGTCTGGAGGTGGCAGGCAGGGCACTCTCGCATCACTCCAGGTATCGAACACCCACACTTGTTCAGAGCCCTCTGCTGCGCACTGTACCCTACCCATCTACTTTCCTGATCACACAGTGGTTCCCCAGTGTAAGGCGCTAGTCGATTCAGGCGCAGCTGGGAACTTTATGGACAGGGCATTCTCACACAGTTTAGGCATTTCATTGGTTCCCCTATCCATTCCACTCCCCATCAGAGCACTTGATAGTCAACCATTAGGGTCCGGGTTTGTTAGGGAAGTTACAGCACCAGTCACCATGATTACCCACGAGACTCATTGCGAGCAAGTCACTTTTTTTTATTATTGAGTCTCCTGCTTTCCCTGTGGTATTAGGTATCCCTTGGTTAGCACTCCACAACCCCACCTTCTCATGGCCGCAGAGGGTTCTCACGGGGTGGTCGCGAGAGTGTCAGGGTAGGTGTCTAGGTGTTTCCGTTGGTGCAACCATGGTGGAAAGTCCAGACAGTACCTCCACTGTGCGCATTCCCCCCGAATACCTTGATTTGGCGCACGCATTTTCTAAAACGCAGGCAACCAAGTTACCACCTCATCGGGCGGGGGATTGCGCGATAAACCTCCGGGTAGAGGAGTCATGTGTATCCCCTGTCACAGGCTGAAACGGAGGCTATGGAAACATACGTCACCGAGTCCCTGCGCCAGGGGTGTATACATCCCTCCACTTCACCCGCCTCCTCAAGTTTATTTTTTGTGAAGAAGACGGCAGTCTGTGCCCTTGTATTGATTATCGACCACTGAACAAGGAGACGATACGATTTAGTTATCCTCGCCCCCTCATTCCTTCAGTGATCGAGTCAATGCATGGGGCGCGCATCTTCACCAAATTAGATCTCATGAATGCTCCCTCAGTTTTCCAGTCCTTTGTGAACGAGGTGTTTCGGGACGTGCTTGGTCGCGGTGTAGTGGTCTACATCGATGACATTCTGGTGTATTCCGCTAGGCGCGCCGAGCATGTGTCCCTGGTTCGCAAAGTGCTGACCCAACTGTTGGAAAATGACCTTTATGCCAAGGCAGAAAAGTGTCTGTTTTTCCAGCAGTCCGTCTCCTTCCTCGGATACCGCATTACCACTTCAGGTGTGAAGATGGAGGGAGATCGCATTTCAGCCGTGCGTAATTGGCCGACTCCAACCACGTTAAGGAGGTGCAGCGCTTTCTTGGCTTCGCCAACTACTATCAGAGGTTTATCCGGGGCTTTGGCAAGGTCGCAGCTCCCATTACATCTATGTTGAAGGGTGGGCCGTCCCGGCTCCGCTGGTCTGCTGAGGCTGACAGGGCTTTCAGTAACCTGAGGGGTCTGTTCACCTCAGCCCCGGTACTGGCCCACCCCGATCCATCACTACCGTTCGTATTGGAGGTGGATGCGTCTGAGGTAGGGATAGGCGCTGTCCTGTATCAACGCTCGGGCATGCCACCCATGCTCCGCCCCTGTGCCTTCTTCTCTAAGAAGCTCAGCCCGGCGAAGTAGAACTACGACGTTGGTGATCGGGAGCTGTTGGTTGTTGTCCGAGCCCTGACCGTGTAGAGGCATTGGCTCGGAGGGGCGAAACACCCTTTCCTCGTCTGGACGGACCACCGTAACCTGGAGTACATCCGGGCAGCGAGGAGGCTGAATCCTCACCAGGCCATGTGGGCCCTATTCTTCACCCGGTTTGATTTCCAACTATCATACATCCCGGATACGAAGAACGTGAAGGCAGACGCATTGTCACGGCTGTATGAAACAGAGGAGAACCCAGAGACAACACCCCCATACTCCCGGCCTCCTGCATTGTGGCACCAGTAGTATGGGCGATGGACGCGGATATAGAGCAGGCGTTACACACAGAGTCATCTCCACCTCAGTGTCCAGCTGGGCTGCAGTACGTGCCTGCTCTTATCCGTGACCGTGTGATCTACTGGGCACACACGTCACCCTCCTCTGGCCACCCAGGTATCGGTCGTACAGTGCGCTGCCTGACCGGAAAGTACTGGTGGCCTACCTTGGCTAAGGACGTGAGGGTGTATGTCTCCTCCTGCTCGGTGTGCACCCAGAGTAAGGCACCTAGGCACCTCCCAGCGGGTAAGTTACAACCTTTACCAGTTCCACAACAACCATGGTCTCACCTGAGCATTGATTTCCTTACTGATCTTCCCCTCTCCCAAGGTAACACCACCATCCTGGTCATTGTGGACTGCTTTTCCAAGGCCTGCCGCCTCCATCCTCTGCCCGGTTTCCCCACGGCCCTGCAAACTGCGGAGGCCCGGTTTACACACGTCTTCCGGCACTATGGGGTACCAGAGGATATAGTGTCTGACCGGGGTCCCCAGTTCACATCCAAGGATTGGAAGGCATTCATGGAACGTCAGCCTGACCTCTGGATTCCACCCCAAGTCTAATGGGCAGGTGGAACGGGTAAATCAGGATTTGGGTTGGTTCCTGTGGTCCTACTGCCTTTTTTTTTTTTTTTGGGGGGGGGGGGGGGGGGGGGGGGGTAGATCAGCTTAATATTGCAGATAGATTGTAACTTCTATCAATGTAATTGTCTGCATCACTTCCAATCCCCCATGTTTTTTATATACATACTCCCCTTTATTACTTTTCAACCCCGCCATCCTTTCCCTACTTGGGGTAAATTAGTGAACAACAATGTCCAGGCCTCTACTTCCAGCCTATACTTACTATCTACACCTTATGGACACAGTCAATTTTACAATAATTATACTTTCCCAAAAGCTCCCAACATACAACCTATATACTTATTATGGACACAGTATGCTTACATTATTAGTTATCTTGTTATTATTTGTTGTTATTTGTTATTAGTCCCATCCTTCAACTCCATTCAATACCTCCCATCTATCTCTTAACACCATCCATATAGGATTTCTATTTGCCATATGTATTTCAACCGTACTGTGATGTTTTACAAAAGTTCTGAACCTTTCTATTCTCATTGCTTCTACAGATTGTGAATTAAAAATAAACATTTTTGCTAAAAGTATTATTATATTATTGATCGATTGACTATGACTTTTCAGATCACCCAGTAATGCTATCTGCAAGGTTAGCTCCAGGTAAATATTGCAATCCTTTAGCCATTCCTGGACCAGCTTGTCCAAAAACAAGCTACAAATGGACAGAACCAAAACAAATGATCTAATGAGTCTGTCTCTTCACAGCAAAATCTGCAGAGCTGGGAAGATTGTATCCCCCATATAAATAACATTCTATTGGTAGCAAGAATTTTATATAATAATTTTAATTGAAAGATTCTAATTTTTGAATCCGGTGTTGTTTTGCGTGTCAGTTCATAAACACTATGCCATGGGATCGGTACGTCAAAAATCTCTTCCCAACTATTTTGCAATCTATATGGGACGGCTGTCAATCCTTTGGTCCTTAAGTGAAACTGATATACTTTTTTATTTATCACAGTTTTCCTTAACCAATTATGTTCTTTAATGCAAGGCCGACAGACAAGTTCCTTACTTTCTCCCCCTACCACTTTCCTCTTCCACTTTTGCGGTAAGGCTGCAATTATTTGGTTGTAAATTTGGGTAGAGCAGACATTTCCATATGTTTTTGTTAGCTGCATGTGCGACATAACTCTACCAGTCCTACCGATTATATCATTTACGAAGATTATACCTTTTTTAAACATTCTGTCAAAAAATAAAGGTTTTTTGTCAATTAGTATATTTGAATTTAACCACAATATTTGTTGCATTATTTGTTCTGTCATTTCTGGAGGATTAAATTGAAACCAACTTTCTATGGCTTGTTTTAGAAATAGTGATATTTGGGAGATGATTTCCTTTTCAAATAACTGAAAATTAGTGGTTGTAATCTGAATAAAGGGAAAAAGGCCATTCTTGAACATTGGGTGAGACAATCTTACTAATTTGCTTGAGAACCAGTTCGGATTTAAGTATAACTTTTGTATGACTGAAGCTTTTAGTGATAGGTCTAATGCTTTAATATTTAATAATGTCTGTCCTCCGAATTCATATTCATTATATAAATAGGCCCTTTTAATTTTGTCTGGCTTGCCGTTCCAAATAAAATTGAATATTTTTTTCTCATATAATTTAAAAAACTGTTCGCTAGGCGTAGGCAAGACCATAAGCAAATAGGTAAACTGGGATAATCCTAAAGAGTTAATCAGGGTGATTTTTCCACAAATTGACAGGTATTTACCTTTCCATGGTAGTAAGATCTTATCTATTTTTGCTAACTTTCTATTAAAATGTATTGAAGTGAGATCATTTATTTCCTTTGGGATATGTATTCCGAGTATATCCACATCACCATCAGACCATTTTATTTGTAAACTACATGATAATGTAAAAATGGTATTTTTTAGTGATCCAATATGTAATATTATTTGTCATAATTTGGTTGTAATCCAGAGAGGTTAGAAAATGTATCTAGATCCTCTATGAGGCTGTGGAAGGATTCTAGTTGTGGATTTAAAAGAAAACATGAGTCATCAGCATACAATGACACCTTTGTTTTTAAGCCCTGGATCTCTAATCCTCTGATATTATTATTGGATCTGATTTCAATAGCTAACATCTCGATGGCCACAATAAATAGATATGCCGATAGTGGTCGGTGTTCTTGCCATGGGCCGAATATGCCCAGAACTCTCTCCGTCACTCCTCCACTAACCTAACGCCATTCCAATGTGTTTTAGATTACCAACCGGTTCTGGCACCGTGGCACCAGAGCCAGACCGTGGCTCCTGCGGTGGATTACTGGTTTCGGCGTGCGGAGGAGACGTGGGACGCTGCCCACGTCCACCTCCAACGCGCCGTGCGTCGTCAGAAGGCCAACGCTGACCGCCACCGCAGTGAGGCCCCGGTCTTTGTACCGGGTGATCGGGTCTGGCTCTCGACCCGGAATCTGCCCCTCCACCTGCCCTGCCAGAAGCTGAGCCCGCGGTTTGTGGGGCCGTTCAAATTCCTGAGGAGAATCAACGAGGTTACCTATAGGTTATTACTCCCCCCTGATTACCGTATTAACCCCTCGTTTCATGTGTCTCTCCTCAGGCCGGTGGTGGCTGGTCCGCTCCAGGAGTCTGAGGTGCAGGAGGTCCCTCCACCTCCTCTGGACATCGAGGGGGCCCCGGCGTACTCCGTCCGTTCCATCCTGGATTCGAGGCGTCGGGTGGGGGCCTTCAGTACCTCGTGGAGTGGGAGTGGTACGGTCCGGAGGAACGGTGCTGGGTCCCGGTGAGGGATTTCCTCGATCCCTCCCTGTTGCGGGATTTCCACCGTTGTCATCCGGCTCGCCCTGCTCCGAGTCCTCCTGCTGGAGCTGCGCGTCAAGAGGGGGGGGGTGGTAGGCTTCGGCGTTCGTCATCACCGGCCTTCTAGACACTGCCGCTCCATATCTCATCATTCCATTTGTCTTGTCTTGTCAATTACACACACCTGGTTCATATTCCCCTCATTAGTATGTGTTTAAGTGTTCCCTCTGCCCCCTTGTCCTTGTGGGTGATTGTTTCATGTGAGATGAGTGTAGATCGGTGGAGCTACCTGTACTTTGTATTGCCGGGGTATATTTTCCCCGTTTGCCTGTATTTGTTCCAGTGAGCCTGTTTTGCGCACTGCACTGTTGACGCTATCCAGCGTAACTGTGTACTACGGAATAAACTTTGTATTCTGTGATTTACCCTCCTGCACCTGACTCCTTCAAATCACACTGACAATTTTGTATTTTTTCACCCAACTTTTAACCTAAATCCAATGACATGGTGACATGTCTTGTTGATTTCACATTTAATTCATGTTAGTTGACAACTCAACCAAATGTAAATCAAAACTATACGTTGAACTGACGTCTGTGCCCAGTGGGCTGTGTATTTCCCTGACTGACCAGTAGTTAGTGTATACAGTGCTCTCTAACCTGCCAGTAGTGCATGAATATTGAGCCCACGATCCTGGTCCTCTGGCAGGCACACGTCCATCATGTAGGCGTGGCTGGGGTTATCTGCCGAGTCCGCACTGAAGTCCATCAGAACCACTCCACAAATAGTCATTATGATGCCCCACTTGTGATTGGTTGCTGTGTCTGCCACCGCAGCTCCAATGTCCCGCCCATTCAGCACCAGTGTCAAACCAAGCAGAGCTCCTATAAAGGTAAAACAGAGAATTCCATCACTTCAGGACTACAATATTAGTTTAAAAACAGGAACCCAGTCGCACCAGAGGGGGGAGAGCCATGCAAGAAGTGGACAGTGAATATTCCTTACCTACAGCCAAGGCCAAAATAAATGGTCTCCGGCGGCCAAAGCGGGATGTACAGCGGTCACTCCAAGCTCCCAGGAGAGGCTGGACCAGGAATCCTTAAAACCATGAGGAGAAATTAGAAGGATTTAGGGGCACTCAATGGGCAATGCAGATGGGAACATCCCTATAGTCTAACTATACCATTCAAAGTATAGTTAGGTATTATATGTCTTCCAATCAAACAGGACTTTCTGTATCTACTTCAATACCCAATATTGGACTGGTGAACCACACCAGGCTGTAGAACTGGTCTGGCAGACCCATCTGTAGCAGGACAGGGGTGACATAGGCCGTCTCCATGGCATAGCTGAACTCGATGCCAAACAGGACGCAGCCGTTGAAGAGCAGCTCAGGGAAGGTGCGGCGAGGGGGTAACTCACTGAGGTCCAGCTGATCCAGGGGGCAGGGGGTGTTGGGCGGCGGGGGCGGGGACGGTCTGATCAGCTTCCGCCGCTTCGGGTGTCTCTGGAAGTTGTTGGCACGGTGACTCAAGAGGCGCGTGGTAGACGATGGAAAGCTGGCCGTCTTGGGCATGGAGCTCCTCCAGAGGCCGTCATTAGTGGTACCCAATGACCTCCCTCCTGGGCTGGCCAAGAGAGGGTCACTGGGGGTGCCCATTCCTAGAGAGGACATCACTCTGCTGGGTGAGCCCAGTTTACTCTGCACACACTAGGAGATGCTCATAAGTCAAAATGTAAACAAGGTTTGAAGATAAATATACTTGTTTACGAGGAGGAAGACAGTACAGTAAGGAGGCATGTCAATAACAGACTTGCAGTCATCATTACATCTATAAAGTATTTAATCATCATAATAGCTTTGGCAAGCTAATTTTAGAGGACACTCAAGGCTAGTACTGTAAAACAGGAGCTGAAGACACCAAGGTAACAGGCAGTATTAAAGTATTAAAGGACACTATGCTCCTAGTGGGCACGATGCACTGCAAGTAATGCGCATTTTGATACTGATGTGCGCAAAACCCATGTGCTGGTGTGGCTGTGTACAGCAGTGTGGAATGCGGCATTGCGTCTCACGGAGGCTGTTTACATCAAAACATTTTCATGGATGTATTTTTCCTTGTAAATAGATAATCTGGTAGGAGCTATAAAAAAAAGTCATTGACACGTTTGCCTCAAATAACAAACGTTTTAAGATGCTAGGCTACACATTATTTCGTTGTGAAACACACGTCTTTAAACATGAAAAATACGTCAAACGTGACTGGCTTGATAGGCCTATGTCTGTTCTTTCCTTTCATTTTTGTCATTCAATTTCTTCCAATCGTCGTCGATGTTACGCTCAGTGACGTGACAAAATTTTTGTTCTCAAGGTGATGATTATACAATCGAATTAACTCATGATCTTGCAGGACAAGGCGTGCAAATTGAAACATTAAATAAAATTACCTTATCGGGGTTTCTCTGTCATTTATCTCAGCATTCTCTGTTGGCGAACAAGTCAATCATATTTGTGCTTATAATATTTGCGTTGAATTCGATGAGTCATGTTTTTTTCCTTAAACGCAATCATCTCCCTGCTTTAACCATCCACTTTCCTTCCCCATCTCTCCCTTCCTCTGTCCCTCACACGTGACGTCACATCGCCGCTCCTGTTTCCCTGCGCTAGGTAGACATGCAGCATCAGCACCAACATGGCAGCTATCGCACCGCCAGAGGCGTTTCGTTTCCATTATCATCAACCATATTTAAAATTACTGTCAACAACACTGACCAAGAGTTAAAAATAGTACATGGATGTGTCGACCATGGCTTATCTAATTTAACATAAAAATGAACCTAGGTTACCAAGACCAAACTTATCTACATAGTTGTTTGTGCTGTCCAGCCAGGTTTACCTAAATATTAGCATAATACGCAATGACGTTTCATAAAAATATTTTCTGGTGGAAGTACAGTAGCCTAGTAGCTTTATTTTCATAAACCATAATGAGATGCATGAAAGCAGATGCCATGCTGTTTGAGCTCCTTTGATCTCACCAACACCTGTTCATCACTAGTTACCACAGTCACAAAGTCATAATTATGTCTAAACCCCGCCTATTTCTAAAATGTATCTTCTTAAAATAAGATTTTAAACCTAATCGTAACCTTAACCATACCCTTAACCACACTGCTACCTTATGCCTAACCCTAACCTTAAAGTGGTAATCAGCACTTGAAACAATAACAAAGCTCACTCCATGCCCGTTTCGGTAGAAAGCTGAGGAATGGGGCTGGAGAAATGTAACCACTCTCAAATTCATAGACAGAGCTATAGATGCAAGGACTGGCCATCCATGATATCAAAACTATAGTTTTAACCATGTTTTGAGGCTGTATACAGTTTCTTTACATTTACTTTGTTTACAATCATTGGAGTAAAACAAGTTTATATTTGGGCTCATGAGGCTCATTATTCTTCTAGAATAAATAGGTTCATATAATTAATTTAAAAGTTACAAAAAATGGATGTAGCAACTGCAATAGGTGTTGTCATTGTACAATCTTGTAGTTTACTTTACTGCTGTGTCTGTCAGCTAGTCTGTTGAGAAAATGGTTTTACTAATGTAGTCTCCAGTCAATACATTCAGTGTAAATGGCAAAGATTGAACTAAAGCAAGTTGGAACCTACTTGTTGAAGACTGTTCCTGGAGAGGTATGTTAAAGCGTCAACGTGTGTGTGTGTGTGTGAGAGATGATGGTGGGTTTACCTTACTAACTAGCTAATGTCAGCTGACTTGGAATTAATATAATTTATAAATGCATAGGCTACTACTATATAGATACAGTTGATGTCGGAAGTTTACATACACCTTAGCCAAATACATTTAAACTCAGTTTTTCACAATTCCTGACATTTAATCCTAGTAAAAATTCCCTGTTTTAGGTCAGTTAGGATCACCACTTTATTTATTTCTTTCATCACGTTCCCAGTGGGTCAGAAGTTTACATACACTCAATTAGTATTTGGTAGCATTGCCCTTAAATTCTTTAACATGGGTCAAATGTTTCGGGTAGCCTTCCACAAGCTTCCCACAATAAGTTGGGTGAATTTTGGCCCATTCCTCCTGACAGAGCTGGTGTAACTGAGTCAGGTTTGTAGGCCTCCTTGCTTGCACACACTTTTTCAGTTCTGCCCACACATTTTCTATAGGGTTGATGTCAGGGCTTTGTGATGGCCACTCCAATACCTTGACTTTGTTGTCCTTAAGCCATTATGCCACAACTTTGGAAGTATGCTTGGGGTCATTGTCCATTTGGAAGACCCATTTGCGACCAAGCTTTTACTTCCTGACTGATGTCTTGAGATGTTGCTTCAATATATCCACATAATTTTCCTTCCTCATGATGCCATCTATTTTGTGAAGTGCACCAGTCCCTCCTGCAGCAAAGCACCCCCACAGCATGATGCTGCCACCCCCGTGCTTCACGGTTGGGATGGTGTTCTTCGGCTTGCAAGCAACCCCCTTTTTCCTCCAAACATAACGATGGTCATTATGGCAAACAGTTCTATTTTTGTTTCATCAGACCAGAGGACATTTCTCTAAATAGTACGATCTTTGTCCCCATGTGCAGTTGCAAACCGTAGGCAGGCATTTTTATGGCGGTTTTGGAGCAGTGGCTTCTTCTTTGCTGAGCGGCCTTTCAGGTTATGTCGATATAGGACTCGTTTTTCTTTGGATATAGATAGTTTTGTACCTGTTTCCTCCAGCATCTTCACAAGGTCCTTTGCTGTTGTTCTGGGATTGATTTGCACTTTTTGCACCAAAGTACGTTCATCTCTAGGAGACAGAACGCTTCTCCTTCCTGAGCGGTATGACGGCTGCGCGGTCCCATGGTGTTTATACTTGCGTACTATTGTTTGTACAGATGAACGTGGTACCTTCAGGCGTTTGGAAATTGCTCCCAAGGATGAACCAGACTTATGGAGCAATTTTTCCCATGATGTCAAGCAAAGAGGCACTGAGTTTGAAGGTAGGCCTTGGAATACATCCACAGGTACACCTCCAATTGACTCAAATGAAGTCAATTAGCCTATCAGAAGCTTCTAAAGCCATTACATAATTTTCTGGAATTTTCCAAGCTGTTTAAAGGCACAGTCAACTTAGTGTATGTAAACTTCTGATCCACTGGAATTGTGATACAGTGAATTATCAGTGAAATAATCTGTCTGTAAACAATTGTTGGAAAAATTACTTGTGTCATGCACAAAGTAGATGTCCTATCTGACTTGCCAAAACTATAGTTTGTTAACAAGACATTTGTGGAGTGGTTGAAAAACGAGTTTTAATGACTCCAACCTAAGTGTATGTAAACTTCCGACTTCAACTGTACATTCTCATTTTACTGGGTCGGCCAGGCAGGCATCTGCTCTCGCTGTTTCAGGTTGTAGCAGGTCTAGAAAGATTATGAATGGCATCCAGGGCCGGGGTTATGGCCCGCCCTACCGTACCTTCTTGCCCCTCCAAATAAAATATTGAAATATTGATCATTTATTTGACCTAGACGCGCGCCGACAGAAAAATGCATAAATCTCGTATAAAGCATCAGAGCGAGCGAAACAGCACCCGTCTGTCTCAGTATGTGTAGACCATGTATCTGATGCTGTCTGGACAAAAAGAGAATGGTATGTTATACTATTTCTGTCCAGACAGCATCAGATACATGGGCTACATATATTAAGACAGAGGGGCGTTGTTTCGCTCGTTCAAATGCTTTCTCCAGTGAGATAGTTTTAGCAGAGAAAGGCAAAGCAAAAGGGCTCACTCGCCAAAATCTCTCTAAAATAAGCCCAATGCGTTTATATGTCCATAATATGCAGACCTAAGCTTGTCGCCTGCCTTCCCACCTTTGGGACAACAACTCCCATTGTTAGGGCAGAGAGATGGGCATCTCATCATTATATACAGATCTCTGGTTTCAGCCTCTTGCGAATTGGAAAGTAAAGTTTAGATGAGTTTTTTAGTCACATGCACAGGGTTGCAAATGTAATTGCAGGGTACAGTGAAATTAGGAAGTCTGGCGGGCAGGAGGGGGACAGGGAGAGCAGGTAGTTGCCTAGTGGTGGCTATTCAGCAGCCTGATGGTCTGGGGGTAGAAGCTTTTAGCCAGTCTGACAGTTTTGGCCATGATGCTCCTATACTGAGTGACGGAAGCGGGGAGAACAGGCCGTGGCTCGGGTAGCTGGGGTCCTTGATTATCTTCTTGCCCTTCCTGCAAAACCTGGTGTTGTAGGTGTCCTGGAGGGTAGGCAGTGAGCACCCAATGGTGCGTTGGGCTGAGCGTACCACCCTCTGTAGTGCCTTGCGGTCAGCAGCAGTGGCGTTGCCGTACCAGGCTGTGATGTGCTCCTATAGAACACTGAGGGCCCTCTGGGACAGGTTGAATTTCTTCAGCCTTCTGAAGTTGAAGAGTCGCTGTCGTGCCTTCTTCACCACGGTATTTGTGTGGTTTGGCCATTTCAGCTCCTTTGAGATGTGTATGCCGAGGAACTTTACGTTTTTGACCGTCTCCACGGTGGCCCCGTTGATGAGGATGGGGGCGTGCTCAGCCTGGTTCCTCCTGAAGTCCACAATCAGCTCCTTTGTTTTGCTGACGCTGAGGAAGAGGTTGTTTACCTGGCACCACACCGTC